TCAATAAAACTAATTAAATGTAAATGGTATTGTTTACTGCTATATGGATCTTTTGAAATAAATCAGCAAGTCATGATTTATTGTGACCTCATTGTTGTTAATAGATTTGCCTGATCACAAAAGCCAGAGGCGCGTTTCCGGAATATCTACGGGCGCCTGCGAAGCCTGTCCCCTAGCTGCCTGCATAGCAGTGACAAGCCCAGCCACAGGCTCGCGGCACAGTTACTATCAAGTAGCTTGTTCCAGTTTTAACTGGTCACATCATCAGACCAGGGGCTGCACGAAATCGGACAGAGCATTCTTGGTGGCCTCCTTGGCTCTTTAGGAAGAGCGCGAAGGTTTGCAGGCTGACTCCTCAGCACCGTGACGCTTGGCTGTCCGGGAAGGACACCGGATGTCCCCAAACCACTGCCTCCGAGACAGAGCAGTGCGCATGAGTGCCAGGGGACGAGTAAACTATCCAGTGAAAAACCAAATTCCCATGCCTGAATCCATAAAGACATGAGAGCTCTTTTTCCTACGAAATCTATACGTATGTGCCAAAGTATATGAAGCTACAAGTTTAATTTAATGAACCAGAAATTCACTTAAACTTCCTTTTTTTCTAGAATATGCTGCTTATTGGTTTTACGGTCATATCAAAACTGAAAATGTTTTCATTTACCAGTTCCTTTACCTAAACAGTAACACACGATCAAAGTACACCAAGCGTAACATTCAAAAATGAGCATTACGTGAAGTATATACTGTACCTTGGTAACTGTTTTGAAGTTGATACACATCTGTCATTAATAGAGATGAAGAAAAGATCCTTACAATATTGAGCACAATAAAATGTCACTTCCCGTGGACCACAGCAAAGAGGACACTCGACGGTCCAGATGGTACGGTGGGATTTTAACTACTCTTCTAAGACGTAACTTACCGCCGTAAGCTGTGCAGCTTTCAAGTGCACGACTGTGTGCACCTGCACACCTGCACCTGTCGAGGACAGCGGCCAGCGTGGGACACAGCCACCGGCTCCCCTGCAGGGCGCCCGGCCCTGGCCTCCACCACAGGACGGACGGGCGTTCCAAGTTCTGCACGACCGTCGTCACCTCGGGGGCGCTTACTCGTTCATGAGCTTGGGCTTTTCTTTCAGACACATTCGTTCACGCTCCCTTCCGCGCTCAGCAAAATGATCGCCCAGCGCCAGCCTTCCCACCTGTCCCGCCCGTGACTCGGGACTCCTTGCCAAGGAGACTCTGACAGAAAGACTCGGGCAGGAGCCCCCATCTGTGCACGAGAGCAAACAGAAACCCTCCCCAGTCCGTGACGACTCGTCAAACACCTCTCAGCCCTGGAGGGTCCCCTGAGGATGCTTCCGGAGCCGGAAGAAGAGCAGGACACAAAGGAGAAACACACAACTGTGAAAGAGCAGAACTGACCCCTGGGTCGGCACAAACCCCACCAGAAGCCAAGAGGCAAGAACGTGTCATGATAAACACGAAACCCTCTTCACAGACGTATGAGAACCGTAGGCCAGACGTCCTCAGTGACGCGGCGACAGCACAGCTTGATTTTGCCCCAAGAAGAAAAGCAAAGTGGACAGAAAAAGCACGGGCGGTGCAAGTGGATCTCAGGAAGGGTGGAAAAAGGCGGGGCCGGAGGGCGGAGGCGCGGGCGCCGGCACTCTCAGGCCAGTGTCACGTGACGGGAGACAGAAGGAGCCACTCGCCGCACACCTGGGCAGGAAACACGAGGTCTGGCCAGGCACAGGGCGACCAGAGAGCCCAACCCTGAACCGGCCTCAGAGATGACACAGCATGGGGGACAGGTCAAGCCCGACCAGCCAGTTACAGGCACCTGTGAACAAGAATTTCCAAGGTTGTGCCAGGAAGATCAAGCCCTTGTACTAGGGTTGCACCAGCATCACACCAAAGGGGGCTCCAGGCCCTCCCCAATAAAGTTTAAGCACAAATCAAGTTTATTCACAAGCTGCTAAACTAAGAAAATCAATGGTTTTGAAAAAAGAAAAAACACAAACACTTAGAATATTGAGCATTCAATAAAAAAATTACCATACAGGCAAAGAAGCAGGAAACTGTGACCTGGAACAGAAGAATAATTAAAAACTTAAAAACTGGGTGCCAGGTGGCACAGTCAGTTAAGCCTCCGATTCTTGGTTTCAGCTCAGGTCACGATCTCAGGGTCTCAAGACTGAGTCGCATGTGGGGCTCTGCGCTCAGTGGGGGTCTGCTGGCTTCCTCTCCCTCTGCCCACCCTCACCCCGCCCACACGCGCATACTCTCTCTCTCTCAAATGAATAAATCTTGAAACAAACAAACAAAAAAAACTAGAAACATACCAAGAAATAACAGACAATGGAATTAACAGATGAAGAATAAGTATTACAAAATGCTGGAAGACTTAATGTTTAAATGAACACTGAAAAAAAATATTTAATTTAACTTAAAGAAAAAGATTTAAATGAAAGTATGAACACATCAGGAAGTAAAGAAAGGTAGCTAAACAGTAATGAAAATGAGAGAACTACACAGACCTCCCAGATATTAAAAATATAGTATTTAGAATAAAAAATCTGAATGGTCTTAATAGAAGACTAGATACTTCAGAAGACAAAGTCAGTGAATTCAAAAACAGAGCAACAGAAAGGACTAAATCAAGTCACAGCAAGTAAAGAGCAAGGGAGCTCAGCGACCAGCAGAAATGACGAGTGGCACAACACACATCTTGCTGATGTCCCAGATGGAGGGTTTCAGCAGAGAGGCGTGAAAAATAAAGGCTGGAAGGTTCTGAAATGGAGAGGAAAAAACAAGAAACTCCAGATCAGGAAAGTCCAATAAGCCTCAAGCAAGACAAATGAAGACACACACACCAATTCCTGAAGAAGTCATCACGCACACACAAATCTTAAAAACGCCTAGAGAAAGAGACCGATACAGCGGAGACAACACACCGTGTAAGGCAAAGAAAGCACGGGCCGCTCTGACACGGCCAGAGACGAGGAAAACTGTCCGAAAAACCCTTAAAAACCTCTTCCAAAATGAAGGTGAAATTAAGACCTTTTTCAAGCAAAAACTTTCACAATTAATCCAGCAGATTTCTCTTACAAGACATACTGAAAGAAGTTCTTTGATTTAAAGGAAAAATTAACTGAAAGTTAGATCCACATTCAGGAAAGAAGACTCTGAAACTGTGTAACTGCAGAGAAGTGGAAAAGAGGGTTTTTATTTTTTTATTACCTTCTTAACATGCTTGACAACTCTTCTTTGGAAGATGTATTTATTTATTTTTAGCCGGGGAAGGGCAAAGGGAGAGGAAGAGAGAATGTCAAGCAGACTCCCCAATGAGCAAAGAGCCCGACACAGGGCTCACTCTCAGGACCCTGACGTCGCGACCGGAGCTGAAATCACGAGTCAGATGCTCAACCGACTGAGCCACCCCGGTGCCCCACATGTGTGACTACTTTAAAGAAAAAAATATATATATTCTACAGTGTGGCTTACAACATGTAGGAGTAAAATATACGACACAACGACACCACAGAGGAGGAGGAGGACGTGGGAGTCTAACTGTGCAAGTTTCTTAAATTCTATACAAAATGGTATAATACCGTTTGGAGAAAGATAACAGTAAGTTAGTAACACGTACTGGAAACCGCAGAACAACCACTACAGAATAGAACTACTGGTTAGAGCCAATAATAGTAACTAAAAATCTAAAATAATATCTAAAGATGGAAAAAAGGAACAAAGAGATAAGTAGAAAATAAACAGCAAGATAACTGCCTTTAACTCAACTATTATTGATAATTATGGTAAATGTACTCATTAAAAATGCAACAACCGTCAGAGTAAGTGAAAAAACAGTATCTGCTTGTGTTATGATAACAGGAAACCCACTTCATACATAAACAGACACAGGAAACACACAAGCACGGAAAAAGATAGGCCGTGTGAACACCAATCAAAAGAAAGCTGGAGTCACTGTATTAATACAAAGTAGAGGTCACAACCAAGAACACCCCACAAATACCGAGCAAAGTTTGGCTCATCAACAGGGTAGGAGCATTCTGAGTGTGCACGGACTCAAGAGCGGTGCTTCGACGTACGCAGGACGACTGACAGAACCCAGGGGAGAAAGAGTGTATCTTCCAACTCTTCCTTCATTAATTAAGAGAACAGATGGTCGAAAACAACTAAAAATATACAACACTTAAACAACATTTTCCACCAACTTGACCTAATGGACATTCAGAGGCTACCCACAGAACAGCAAAACGCGCTCTGGAAACAGGCCAGAGCCTCCTCCACTGCGGCCTTGTTAAAAGACGATGTGAGCTGCCTTAGGAGATTCTCGGTGTGACGGATCGTTGACAGTGCTGGAATCTGGTAAGTACTGTTCTCGCTAATGCCGCCTCTTGCCTGTTCCCCAGGAACAAAGGGGCACTGGGCGAAGACCACGCAAGGTGCCTGACAGTGTCCGCTTCCTTCTCTCTCGGTCACAAGACACAGTAACATTCTCCCTCCTCCTAATTGAAGAGGGTTCTCTATTGTCCCAAGAACAGCAGAGTGGATGTGCCTGTCTCCAAAAGGAGGCTAATTTCATCTAGTTCCACAATCTGCCAAAACTAATGGAAAGCAGCCTACCACCGAGTTAAGTCGGTTAGCAAAAACACACTCGTTTGTGGACTCACGTAATCCTGCCAAAAGTTCTCAATCTTCAAGATCACTCAATCGCAAGGTTTAAAAGTAAAAACCAGGAGGGAAAGGAACGCAAGAGAAAAGAAAAGAGGACCGAAGCGTCAGGCCAACAGGAACACTGCAAACCACACCTAGAACAGGTCATGTGCCTAGACACCACGGAAATTATTCTGCCGTAATTTTCAATGACCCTTTGTTAGCAGTAAAAGAAGCATTTTTAAAAATCAGTGCATTCAAGTCAGTTGCCTGGGAAGGAGCACTACCAGTGAGACGATGTAACCCCAGCGCACTCACCCCCAAGGCCGGCAGCCTCTGTGTGCAGCTCACCGCCACCTTCGGCTTCCAGTCGGTCTCACCATCAAGCTGATCAGTTCGAATAAAACACGAGCCTTGGAAGGAGACACGAAGATTCCAGAGTTACAGGTGCTTGAAGCCCACAAGTGTGCGGCACAGGGGACAACAGCGGCATGTCCAGAAATCTGCATCAACAAAAATCCTCAAAAGCCTTTATGTATTTGATTCACAAACAAGTGTGCTGAGAAGATACAGGTCACTAACTATAGTCACTTACCTGAAATGTGGTGTCCTTGCCTACGGAGGCTTAATATTAGTAAGTGCTTTACTTTTGAAAAACTACTTTGATCATTTCTAACTTTAATTCATGTTTTAGTAATAAAATAATAATACACAAAAACACCCACGAGTGCGCCGTAACTCTGCGGATAAATCATCTGGTGTGCCGCCGTACGGAAAGCCCAGCGAGAGTGCCAAAACACAGGTAAGATCTACTGCCGTACGAACCTATCAAATTCTAAACATGAATAAATATTAAGCAACAAAACTCCACTCACCCTTTGGCCACACTATCACACATTTCTCAGAACCTGTCCTAAGACAGAACAGCCGAGACACGAAGTGACACACATACACGATGACCCTGTACCATTACTTGTCAGGACAAAAGGCTGAGAGATCGTGTGAGAATCGATGAAGAAAAGGGGAGCAAGAGCAGCCACGTAAGACAGACGGGATGGAGGACAGAGCACAGACAGGAGACAGGGAGCAAGACAGGGAGGGAGAGAGGAGGGAGGGGAATAAAGGAAAGGGTGGGAGAAAGAGAAAGGGAAATGAGAAACACCTTAATTTTTACAGTTAATGATCTGCAGGGTGAACATCGGTAAGTGAGGGAAGCAAAATGCCGTGCCGGGAGTACCACCGTCCGCTGAAGAGCCAGGCCAGGGGCAGGGGGTTGGGGGGAATGTGTGGGTGTGGTCACGGGGGTGACCTCTGCAGAGGGAGGAAGGTGGGAAGGGGCTGTTTCGTACTGCTCCCTCTGAAATCACACATGCTTTACATACTTGAAAGAGCCGATTACATCAAACTTTTAGGAAGCAGTTGCCAAAAACAAGCATATAAAGCAAGCAAAGTATTAGTTTCATCACCAAATGAATTCAAGTGCCTTCATAAAATTGTCACAGAAAGCCCCACAAGCATCTGCACGTGACTCAGGACAAGTACCCCGTAAACGACTGCGAGACCCAAGAGTATCTCGGGTGTCCCACACGACACCACCCCGCAGCCTAACACTACTACCACTTGCACTCCTTCCTCTGGTCTGGAGTTACCCCCAAATGTACATGCTCAAGACACCACAGCTGAGCCTTGTCCGCTCTGGGTACACATTCATGTCACTTTTCATCGGCAGGCCCTCCCTGCCTTCCCTGGTCGCACGTCACTGACTGCACACTCACGTGAGGTCCAGGCCAACCGTCTCCCCTTCCCCTTATGGGACCTGGAACCCTGGCTCCTGCACCCAGAGCCCAGTTCATACTCCAAGGGCCCTCAGCACTGCTGCCCAGCTGCCTCCCGGAGGCACCATGTCCAGGCTCTGCTCTGCTTGGATACCAGCAGCCTTTGTGCGCAGGGCCCACACCCGTGACCACAGAGCCGGCTGAAGGAAGTGGGGGAGTCCATCTTCCCTTCTCGGCTTTTAGTGAGAATAAAACGTCAGCAGAGGCCTCTTGTTTGGATCGGTCTGGTTGCCTGCTGAAAGTTCCTGCAAGAAAGCACTGATTCCTTTTGTGATTTATCCACAGTTCAAGACAACGAGCTGCCCCTGCCATCCTTAGGAGAAAACCAATCAGGCCTGTGTGTGTGCACGCCTGCTCATGCGTGTGTGCGCGCCGCGTGAGCTGCGTGAGCGAGAAGCTTCCCCGCAACACCACGACTGTCACGACCGCGTCTCAGGCTGACCCACCATCGGGGGTGGGGACCTGACCTCCACAGTCACCACATTATAAAGGTTAAAACACCCAGTGTTCACCAGAAATCAGCGCACACAAAGAAACAGGGCATGTCACTGTGTACTTATAAAGGGGAAAAAGGAGCGCCTGGGTGGTTCAGCTGGTCGAGCATCTGCCTTCACTAAGGTCCCAGTCCCAAGGTCTTGGGATCAAGACCCACACCGGGCTCCCTGCTCAGCAAGGAGTCTGCTGCTTCTCCCTCTCTCTCTACCCCTCACCCCTGCTTATGATCTCTGTCACACACACACACGCTCTCTCTCAAATAAATAAAATCTTTCAATAAATAAAATAAAGGAACAAAAAATGTAACAGACACTGTCTCTGGAGGATACGTGGTGTCGGGTCTCCTAGACAGAGACTAGGCTGAAAGATTCTCAGAAGCTGAAGAAAGATTGAAGGAAAGTCAAGAAAACAAATCATGAACAAAATGGAATCAATAAAGGGGGAGAAAACAGAAAAAAGAAATCCAAGAACTGACAAGTACAGTAATCACAATGAACACCTCCCTGGGGGAAGCCAAGGGCAGAAGAATCAGCAAACCCGAACACAGGACAGAAATGGTCCAGCCCGAGGGCGAGAGAGCAAAAGGACTGAAAGACCGCGGCAGAGACAGAAGGGCCCGTGGGGTCACCGCCCGCGCTGGCACACGCCGTGGCAGCCCCCGCAGGACTGGAGCCGAGGGCGTGCGGAGACCGCCCGGAGAAGCACTGCCCGCAAACGTCCCGGCCGCCGTGAGACACGTGCCCATCGGCACGTAAGGAGCCCAGGAAGGCCAAGTCCGAGGAGGTCAGAGAGACCCACTCGGAGACGCGCTACCCCGACTTTCGAGACACGATGTGCCGGGGTGAGGGGAGGGTTGCGGCAGCCCGTCCCGGCGTCTGCCCGGCAAGCTCGCTGACGGGGAAACCTGCCGGGGGAACCTGCCGGGGCTCCCTTATCCCCGCTTGTCAAAACCGGGCGGAGCTCCTGCCTCTGAGTGGCAGCTGTGAGCAGAAGGAGGCCGGTCCCCCGGGCCTGGGGAAATGAGCGGCGAGCGGACACCCCTTGCAGGGTGACGCCCGGCCTCAGTCCGGCGGTAGCGGGGACGCGGGGCCGGCCCCCGACTTCTCAGCTGTGCTGGTTTGCAGTAGAACCTTCGTCCCCGTGGAGTCAAATGCCACAGAATCAATCTGTTCCTACCGAGAAGATCCCTGAAGAATATTAAAACAATTACTCCTGAAAGAAAAGTAACTGAACACTCAGGGATTCTCTTCAATGAAAACAACAAAGTCCTCCAGTGTTTCTCAACCAAGAGAGATCTTGCACCCCGGAGGGACCTGGAAACTTGTGGGGACACAGTTTTCAAACCTGGGCCGGGAGGGGCTGCTACTGGTATCTAGTGGCCTGCGGCAGCAGTGCTCAGCCCCCAGCGCCTCAGACAGACCGCCCCCGTGAAGAGCGATGGGTCCCCCGTGTCAGGAGGCCCAGGAGAGGCTCCTGTTCCGGGGCACGGCAGGAAGAGCCAGTCTTGGGCTGAACACCAGCTCTCACCCCACTCGGCAATGCTCCCTGTCCAGCTGCCTCACTGCGCTCAAGTCATCATCTGCACGGCGGGGGCAGGGGACCGGACGGCCCGGAGAGCCGTGTTGTAAAACACAGAGGCAAATCCACTGCAGCCAGCCCCGAGCGCCAGGAGCTCACTGTGCTGCCGCTTCCTCAGGTCCGCGGGACCAGTGAAGGTAGCCGTGTCAGGATGCACCTCCGCAGAGCCCAGTCCAGGACTCCCCTCACACAATGCCCTAACACTACAATGGGTCTGTGCCAGTCCACACCTGTGCTAGCCGCGTTCTCCCTGCAGCCCTCCGGAGGAACTGCTGTTCTATACGCACCATGGGCCTTTTCTTGCCCTCCTACTACTTTTTCCACCAGCCAATGCACTTCCAACCCATCGCAGGTCAGGTCCTGCAACGTGTCCCTGAGAGCCCTGCAGCAAGGACGTCTCCGACCCCGGCAGCTGTGCTGTGCCGCAGGCACCGGTGCCGCCAGCACGATTCTAGGAGCCTCCCAGAGCCCCGCGAGACGACTCTGAGTCATCTACTGTATGGAGGCAAGAGTACTCAGGAGACGTCTGATTCCACGTCCTCTGAGACCTCGCTCAATACGCAAATACACTCCGTTGTGCAGTGCTTGTCGGAAGACCCACCGTAAGGAGAGTGTTCCACACACGGCCTTCACTAACTAGGAGTACAAGAAAACTTGCAGTGGATGTTATTTTACAGTTGAGCAGTTTTTCAAAGTTGATTTTACTCCTCTTCAATACCTGCATGTTTACGTGTGTGCGTGTGCGGGCCTGTGCGTGCTGATACAGAAGCGAGCACGCGGGGACCGGATTCCAGACTGTCTGACACGCACTTTGACACGTCAGTGCCAACGGCTCTGCTCTAGGTCTGCTTTCTAACACAGAAAGCAGGAAGAAGGGAGAACCTCTGGAGCCTCTTACACTGCAAACATCCCACGTTTCTCGGTGAAAGCGACGCCGGGCTCTGGAAGCTCACGGAGCACTGGGAGCAATACAGCTGTCTTTAAAGAGGACCTGCTTCGCTCCACTGTTTTAAAAATTCAGGGGCAAGAGATCTAGGACTTACCCTTGAGCACAGCTAGCACTGCTAGCCTCGCAGTGACTGATCGGATTTAAACAGAGCATGAACTGTGGCGAGAGCAGAAGTACAGCCAACGTACTGGACCTGCTGACGTGCCACGGCAGGCGCCAGCCACACGGGAGGCCAGCGAAGGCTCGGCGAAACTGAATTATTAAATCGTCTGCTTATATCCCGTTACAGACTTCTTATGAATACTTGATTTTATTTTGTATAATTGACAAGAGCTGACAGGGAAGCACAGGTTTAATGATAATCAAATTAAGATCCACTAGGTCACGTGTCACACAGGAGCGCTGAGTCAAGTGGTGCTGAAGTGACGGATGGGACACGGCGCGGCTGAGCGCCGGAGCCTGTCATACGCCATGACGAGTTCTCCTGTAGTATTAGAAGACCGTCCGCAACAGCGCACAAGTCCAATAGCTCTGGAAGAGACGGGGACAGTACGTG